AATAGTAGAGAGGTTGATGTGACTGAAAATAGTATGTGGAGAGTATGCCATAAGGATAACTATTCATATCCCATCCCTCACATTAACACCATTAAATACAAATATGTCAACCTAGTATTGGACTAATCCCACATGTGAGACACAATGACAACTCCAGATGATCAGACTGAATTCATCAAAATGAGGGAAGGTGAGAAAAAGGTAGAGGATATAGTTAGCTCTTTTCATATTCTGTATGCTGCCTAGGAAATGAATGTGCAAAAATGGCAGAGAACTTAAATTGTGGAATTCAATTTTCATATATTTAAGCTAGTTTCTAGGCCTCATGGACATGCGCTGGGGGGCTGAGGATGGAAATGCAGGGCTCTTTTCTGACTAAACAGTCCAATGTGAGAATAGGCCTTCCGGTAGATAGAAGTTTGTAGAGTCCAGATAATTCCCTGCAATTTAGATTACAGTTTTGGAATTCTGAGTGAAGACTGCTTGCAGATAATGTTGATAGTAACTACTGAACCGCTAGTTGCCTGGCTGCATAATTGCTGTGTGTTACAATGCTTACGGTAGAAGGTAAGCTTTTGCTGCTACTCTCTACAAGTATCTATAATTTTATTTTATAATGGAAGTACCTTTCCAGGAATTAGGCAGTGGTGGAAATATATGCATCAAGAAAGGCAGAGACTGCCACAACTCATTACACAGGGGCTGTGGCTGAACCCAGGTCTCAGAGGTTTTCCCCCTTAAGAGTTGACCTAAAAACTAACATAGCATTTTGCTGGAGCATACATTCTGAAGTTGCAGCAGAAGGGACTAAGTTGCCTGACTCCTGTCCCAGTAGATTTGTATCTGTGAATGCATAAATGGAGGCAACTCTCCCCCACAGTGCCTCCCATTATGTAATTAAAAATAAATATAATTTTAATGTAAACAGCTAGTTCTGTTTTTGTTAAGATGCATGATCACAAACAGCTTTTCAGCTTTCATATCCTAAGCTATGTGTATGTCTGCTATTTTATTGGATCCCTGTTAAAGTCCAGCATTCATGAATAATAAGTACAGAACATGGCTGCATCCTTTTCTCCCCTCCAGCATCCTACTTAAAGCAAAGTCAGACTCTTCCCTTATTTTAAAACAAACAGGTCTGTAAACTTTATGTGCAGCATTTAAATAGTCATGTTAAAATTCAGACCCAGTGCCTACATTTCCCTGAGTGCTGTCAGTTTTATGAGATGAAACTGGGAGCTTGAGCTGAACATCTAATAGTATGCATTGTGCACATGCTGCCTTCCAACAAGTGTTTAATGATGTCGGGGTCAGTTTGCAACTGTTAAGACAATTATTTCTTTTCCTCAGCTGCTTATAACCTAGTGGTATTTTTCACTGCTAGGCCGAGTTAGATGCAGAGGTTGGGAATGTACTTACAAGTAAGTCTGAGATCCAAGTAGTGTGTTAAAGAGAGTTTAAAGGGCTTTCCTTGTTGTTAGCATGTGTTGCTTTGGGGCAACACAACACCCACATTAAAATGAGATGGAAATTAGCAAGCGCACACCTGACTACTGCCTGTACCAGGTGTTCAGAAAGTAATTTTTAAGTCATCCATATACTGTACAAGTATATTCTGTACTGTACACTCACTATATACTGACAGTGCAATAAGTGGAGTCAGTATTGGGTTAGATAGACCTGTGGCGATTTAGATCCACGTAATAGATCATGCTGCTGTTTCCTTACTGTTGGTGAAATGTAAGCATCTTTCGTAATGAAAATGTTTACTGATGTGCCATGGCAGCAATAACTACAGTAAACACTTCCCAAAGGAATTAAGGGAAGCAGTGTGGACGCATTTAACTCTGTCAATAGTTGGGATCCACTGTACTTTGACCATGCTAGGAAAAAAATGTTACATAAATTTTCTACAACCCCAGTGTTCCGGATATTCCTGAACTAGAATTAGGTTTGAATTACAATGTTGTGATCCTGGCTACACCTTCTTAAATCTAGGGGAAAGTCAATGTTTTTATTCTTTCAGCCTTTGTGCTCTGTTCTTCTGCTAATGGAATGACTGAAAAAATGGAAAACCGTGCATATGGTGTGCCAGAGGGGTCACTGTGACTTTGGAAAATGCTGTTTAATTTTGAATTACTCTTCATACCTCAGAGACCAGAATATGTTCTTAGACCAGAACATGTTCTTTCTATATCTTGTGAGGAAGGAGCATAGAGGGTGAAGAACTAGTCCTCCGGTGTTCCTCGAACGGCTTAATGAAACATAGGTGAGCAGTGGGGCCATTCCACACAATCCCAGCCGCAACGTCGTGCACATGCTGTCTCACCCTGCAGGTGTCCACATGTGCAGCATGAATGCTTGAAGGGCCTGTGCATGTAGAACTGTATGCCTTTGGTCCCCTCAGTTTGGATGTACACACCGAACATAGATATTCTGGACAGGAGTGATATAGCACATCCCTGTTTGTACACTTAATTGTGCCCTGCAGGAATGCCTGAGTATCTTGCCAGTGTGGTGCAATGGTTAAGAGTGTGAAAGCAGGACTCAAGTGATGAGACTCAAATATTCTAGTCTCCACTCAGCCATGGAGCTCACTGGGTGATTTTGGTCCAGTCACAGAGTCCTAGACCAGCGTATCTTGCAGGATTGTTGCTGAGAGGCGGAGGAGAATTCTATACAGTATCTTAAGTTCCTTGGAAGAAAATAAGTCAGGGTATAAATATAAGCTAACTAACTAAATATTTTCACCATAACATTTCAACAAGTTGCACTCATGTTCAACAATAAACATGGACTTAAGGAATTCTTTGTTTTTTAAAAGTACATAAACTATTTCCTTCTCACATTTTTGTGTGGGCATTCATTCATGCTCTATTATGCTTTAGCAGCTAGGAGCTGAGTTTTCTGCCCCTCCTGTTGACATCTAGGCCAGCAAGTTCTTCTGGACCCCTTGAACTGGGGATGGCGGGAATGGTGTAATATTGCCTGGGCCCACTGTACCACTTTCTGTACAGTGACTTTGAGGGCCATTTTTGTCCATTAAGGTGTATTTTTTTTATTTGTGAGTGTTATCAGTCTTAAAGCTATACCCAAGTTCTCTTTTATTTATGTATTATTTATTTATTTATTTAGCAAACTTATATGCCGCCTCGGGCAGCTTACAAATAAATATAATTAATACAATAAAATACAGATGGAGACATCCTGGCCAAAGTTGTTAAAATCAATAAATAGAATCAACAATTAAAATTACGTTTGAATAAAAAGGTCTTGGCCTGCACCGAAAAGCAAATAATGACGGTGCCAGGCGGACCTCTCTGGGGAGCACGTTCCATAAGTTGGGCGCCACAGCAGAGAAACCCCTCCTCCGGGTGCTCACCCTCCTGATGTCTTTCACGGAGGGCTCTTGGAGAAGGGCCTCTGCCGCCGATCACAAGGGGCGGGAGGGCATGTATGGACATAAGTGCTCCTTTAGGTAACCAGGCCCCAAATTTTATGGGTTTCTTGGGGTATCTTTTACCCCACGCTGGAAGGATACAGTATATTTTTCTACTAATATGTTTCTTTCTAATGTGTTAAAGCTGCTCATTAGTGCACTGAGATAGTCATATTAACGACTGCTTGACACTGGCCAAATATACCACTCTATTCACTCCTCTCAAGCACATATCTTTGCTGTCTCTCACACACATCTTTATGCAAAACACACAACTTGTACAAGCAATCTCTTATAGTCACAGATACAACCATGTCTTTCAGCTAACATTCCCAGACACATAAGCTGCAAGTTGGTTTCTCTGCAGCTCACACAAACTATCCCCAGATTCTCCCTCTGTTGGCCTTTTCTCACCTTCTGGCTCAAGGCACACCTTGCTGTACCCAAACGTTGACTTTCCAGTAGAGAAGAAGCACTTGAACTGACTGTATGATGGGCCCAGGAATTGTGTGTGCATGCATGACCCTAGAAAGTAGTTTGCTGGAAATATGAAATTGCTTGTATATGAACATTTAAAATATGTTTTTGCATCTAACTAATTTGTATTCTTTGCATATAAATATTTTTCCTGCATGCTGCTTGTTTGTTACAGATGTACAGCATACAGATGTAGGAAATTGTTACCTTTCCTACATCATACCATCAAGCCTTTTTAAAGGATGTGTAATCTTGTGAAAGTAATACAAGAAACAACTATAAATAGTCATATCACTAGTCATGTGCAAAGCTGAGGTCATGTTGGGTGATGATTAGCTTTTACATTGTATAAAGATTTGTGATAATCACTTGCAGTAAGTTAGAACCCCTTATTGTACTCATCATTACTATGCTGAAATTAGAACTAGATTATATATTTGATACACCTGTTAGGATGCATAATGATGGAGAAGGGTCTCCTGTGCTAGTTATCCTCTGCAGGTTAATATTACTTCCTTTAATGAACAGCCAGTTTAAATGAGTTTATAATTTCTTATTTTAAGGCACATTTTTATTTTTAGTTTTCTGTACAATACAATAAGCTGATCGTTTGGCTATTTAGTGAAATGAGACAGTTTCATCCTCACAGCAATTGGTTAGCCTTAGGTTTAAAATATAGTTAAAACAAAATCTTCTGAATTCACTCACTGGTACATTTTGTCTTTTTCATTAGATAGTACTGCTGAATTGTAGACTGGATTTATTCTTTTAAATTATTCAAGTGATGAAAAGCCCCCAATAGTTGTATTAAACTTGTCAAAATTAACTGTGACGAATGGAAGTATTTCTCTTGCTGGGAGAGTGTTGTTTGGGAAGGAAGCTCGTTGAGAGTAGAAAGGAGAGGTGCTTCCTCTGTTTACTGAGCAGTAAAATTTAGCATAATGTTCCCAGGTTGCAGGGTAAAGCCACAATTATTTTTCTGTGTGTACAGTAACTGAAAGAACAGCAAGAAATCTGAGTTCTCCCCTTTAAAAAAAATCTGCTCTTGAAAAGCCCTGTGGTCATCATCTTGATTTTCTTTCAGATCTGAACTGTAAGCTAGAAGACAAGGCAGAAGATGGAGAGTTGATAGACTGTAAGAAAAGGCCAGAAGAAGGGGAGGAGTTAGAAGAAGAAGCTGTGCACAGCTGTGACAGCTGCCTCCAGGTGTTTGAGTCACTGAGTGATATCACAGAGCACAAGATTAATCAATGTCAACTGACAGGTAAACAATGCTTATAACTTTGTGTCCCCTTACACTGCTCTATTTTTGATTTCAGGTTGTTTCGTCAGAGGTGCTCTATCTGTCTTCCCTACCCCATCCTTCCTGGAAGAGATATTTCTGAAATAATTCTGAAGCAGAGTAGTTCAGTGAATATGTTCTGTTTAGGTTCAAGGGAGTATTAAATGCTGCTGCAGCCTATTAAATGCCATTGTACCTTCCCTTAGCTTTTTCATTGCCGGTCCAAGCTTCTGCACTGTTGTTCTAAGAAAATAATGAAGTGGATACAACTTGTGCTTGCAAATTTAGATGCAGGGTAGCTGTTACTTGGTTTTTTTTCTTTCCTTTTTTTAAAAAAAGGTGCATACCAACATAATTCTAGGATGTTGGTCACTGTAGCTTCATGGGAAGAGTTACTTTGCCCAGTTGTGACACTGTGGATAAAAGTGCTAATTGGTGTTTTAGTTTTGAGCTTATGGGTTACAGTAATGCAGAAGTCTTGAGCAAAGTTTAATTTGCTTGGTAAGCTTTTAAAGTAACATTTAGAACTGGAAGAACTGGAATACAAATCTAAATCAAGTGGCTTAAAGACCATGCCTTCTAATACTGGTTGAGAAAATATCCCCATGTGGTAAGTCACTTTTGGTTATGAGACTCACTCAGTACTTAATGCTTTTTTGAAAACTCTTTTCACTTCAGAAGTGTGAAGAATTTTGTAGAAGCAATAAAAAAATGGCCAAATCCTTGCAAAGCAGTTCAGGGACTCTAGTCCAAAAGAACATAGTGTAGGGCAGTTCATGAAAATACTAATAGAAATTCATGTTTTTTGATATCAAAGTAATATTTGTAATAATTGGGACATTTTGACTCATCACTGGCAACAGGCTGTTGGTCAAATAAACATTTTGACTAATTTAGATTTGACTAAGCTGCTGGGATGGGGTCATTGGCCTCATTCTTAAATGAGCATCAGCATTTAGCTATCCTAATGGATGTCCCACATGGGATAGGTGTTTTTGAAACAAAGGAAGGCAGCTCCATGTCTTGTAGTATTATATGGGGTGCCTCCAGCTGTATAGACAAAGCAGTCTAGTGGTAGCCAGCTTGACTGTCTGAAGAAAGCTGTGACTTAGAGGCGGAAACACACTTTTATCCTGCGTGTCCAGTTGAAAAGGGGGTTTGGGATAGCAGAACTGGGAGAAGGCCCTTCCTGGCCCTCTGAAGAGCTGCTTCCAATTACAGTGGGGAGCACAGAACTAGATGGATCAATGATGCGACTCGCTTTAAGGGACCTTTCACATGCAGAAGAAAAGTGTTGAAATCCCTCTATGCAAAATAAGGTATAAGCCAGTGACAACATATATCCATATATTTTGTTTTTGGTCTTTTAAAAATAAATGTTTTTATTTTTCATGCAAATATATGCAAAATATTTTATGCAAACTTGGGTAAAGCAGCCCTTTCCATTCAGTTCAGCATTTTCATGTTCTTGACAATTCCTGGGGCATTTCTTAGTTATATCAAGCAAGGTGCTGATGCCTAAGGATGGCTTGCTTCCCCCACCATTCCTCTTATTCTTTCTAGTTTTCTTAATGCCTTCCATTTAGTCATTTTGTTTCCATGCATAGTAAACTTTCCCCTTTTCTACTACACAAAATACCAACTCTATTGTTCCTTGACTGTCCCTTTGTAATTCCCAAATGTACCTTACCTGGTGCTGGGTGTTGAGTTGAGTGAGCATAAGCATCAGGAACTGAATATTGCAACTGAGGAACTGAAGCGAAAGGAGCAATTCCTGGAGCACTGCTCCTGATCCACTTCACCCCAGGTCATGCTGGAGGGCAGAACTTGCCATGCTAAATGAGGGTTAAAATGGCTCTGCCACCTGAGTAAATTTTAAAAGAAATGTTTTTCAAAGAAGACAATCCCCCAAGTCCCCCCCCACAAGCCCCCTCCCCCCCCAAAAAAGCCTGGTGTCTGCAGAAGTGCCATTTCAGTAGAAACCAAAACTATTCACAATAGTGTTGTCCAGTTGAAAATGGAAAACTCTCTGGAGAATTTTCTGCTTTAAAGATTTGCTCTTCTTTTCTTACTACTTCTGATATATTCTCAAGGTAAACTAAGCAGAGTATACTGTGCTTGCAATAAAGATTATACAAATACTGTGGTACAATTCCTAAAAAAAAACCTGCCTTGAGTTTTTAAATTCTGTCACTGTTTTTACCTCCTGGCAGTTTTTGTATTAGATCACTAGCTTATTTGAACTGAGAAATAATTATGGAATCGATTGCCAAAAACGTGTGTCTGTGATTAGTCCAAATGTTCTGGGAGATGATATCCTGGCTTCAGTGGGCGTCAGGCTTTCTTACCAAATTTTAGCAAATTGTAGCAAAAATTTTAGTGTTTGAAGGGGAATGGAAACCACTAGGAAAATTGTAGATGATGAGCAGAGCCTTAGAAACATACGCCAGTCCCAAATGCTGAGATTGGATGCTTGAGGCTGCAGTCCAAGAGCCCCATTGAACATGATGGTTCTTTCAAACAACCATTATAAAATATTGCCAGAAATTCTGGGTTTCTGGCAGGAGGAGGCAGCTGTAGACTTAGGATCCTGTTTTGGAGGCATAGTTAAGTTCCCTTAGTTGAAGCTCCATTGCCATCCAAACACAACTCCTGCTCTTCTAACTTTTGACATACTCCGACATCAGCAAATCAGGCAGAGTGTGAGAAACTAGCAAATAGGAAATCTTTCTTTAGCTCAGTGTATCTGGTGGAATTTTAGACATAAATTACATTGCCAAGCATGCTTATTTCAGTATATTTACTATTAACCAACTTAAGAGGGCAGTTGCATGGTCCCTATACTTTGTCTGGGGGGCCCTCACAGCCAGTGCAGAACAAAGCCTGCCTGACAGCTCTTTGGATTGGGAAAACGACCTCAGAGGGGCTAAATGGGGCTATTCTTGTGGGAGGGGAGGAGACTGGAGAGCAGGATATGAGCTATCCTGACTGCTACAGTCTCCTCCTCCTCCTCCTCTTCCCCTCCAAAAATGGCTAACTGAAATGCAGACTGGGAGTTGGGTGGCGGTGGAGATCTCTGCATTTGTCTTCTTGCTCCTCAGTGGATACTCCTAAGCCTTTGAGTTCAGGCATACGAGCATCGAATACACAATTGATTGCACTCTTCTTCTTTGAATTAATGCTCAGGCCACCAGTCACTGTCTCAAAGCAGCTGGACTCAGACTTGACTCCATAGCACAGATGAATGCATCTTTAATTAGGAAGTATATCTTAGAATACTGACTTTATAAGAAACTTCTGTCATATTTTACATTCTTTCTATTTGTTGTCTTTATACAGCGGTCCAAGAAAATGACCCCGTTGCAGGGCTATATGTACTTTTTATGCAGTACAATAAAACATAACTTACCATTCTCTGCAGCTTAATCCAAACTGAGTTCCAAGAAAAGTCAAATCTGGCAACCTGTATAAATGATGTAATATTGTTCTATAGGCGAGGCATATTGAAATCCTCCTTTTCATTCTCTGAGAATCTCTTTTAGTCATTTCTCTGCTGTGTAAGATATTATCAGGCACGGACCACAGTCTTGAGAATGTATCTGCAGAGCTGTAAGGACTTGGAAATGTTCAACTTTAGGAAAATGAAAGTGGCATCTCAGGCAGACTCTCCTAGCAAACTTAATGCTTTTCCTGTGTTGGTACAGACCTTCAGAACATTTGGAGGATTTATATCCTACCTTCTCACCAAGGTCTCAGAGCAGCAAACCACAAAAGCATACATGTTTTTGCTTGTTTTAAAATAGCAAGCAATCTATCCTCACCTATCTCTTGTCTTCAGATTAGGAGAAAAGAGTCTTGTGATCCTTAAGTAACACATATCCTGTTGAAGACTAGAAATTACTTTGCCAGACATTTGATCTCTTACCTATGTGCATATGTGCTGTCACATTCAAAGTTTGTAAGCAGCAGGTCCAAAAGCCACAAAATGCAGAAGGCAGTAATAGGGCTGCTGCATTTCTGTGCAGAACTAAATATGTGCAGGATAAGGGTTACTGCCCATGTTACCTTCTGCATTTCATGAACTTTTGTCCCACTTCACGCCTGTTGTTGGTGTTGTCATTGTTTGCTTTCTGTTACTGTTTATGCATATGAACCGAGCACAAGCATTTCATGACTCTGAACACCTTGCAACACATCAGGGCATTTCTTCAGTTAGACTAGCATGTTCGTCTTCAGCTGAAAGTAGCTTACAGGGTCCATGGCAGCAACCCCAACACAAGGTCTCTCACCACCTGACGTGCCACAGAACATGCATTGCTGGTATCGTTCCCCCGTCCCTTGCTTCTGTTACCTCACACACCATCACAGTGCCACAGTGACCCCTCCATCCCCTTTTGCTGCTCTGCTGCCTCTTAACCTTGGCAGCTACTGCTGTGCCAGTTCTATGGAGACCCAGGCAGGCTGTCCCAAGAGTGCTGCAACCATATCTTGGCCAAGGAGGCAGAGGTAGGGCAGCCACTCCAGGGCACTCTGCTGGCTGCGCTCTCACTACGGCAAGTGCTGCAAGACACACAGGGTCCTTCTGGCAGGAAAGTGGTGCAGTTCGCTACGCTTCCTACTCCGTTGCCTGATGCTGGCACCTCATTGTGCTTCATGGTTGGGCTTGCCCTGTCAGAAGTGGTTTTCTACTTCACATGATCCTTTCAGATGGAGAATCTTGGCTAGATACGAGAAGACCTGGAGTTCTCTGCATGCAGAATGTTGATTCTGAAAGTTTCTTCATTGTTTTTCTAAATTGGACTAACTCAGCTATTCTTCAGGATTTTGATTGCTTAGAACAAGGTAAGATTGCCCTGAAATAAGACTACATACTGTAAGAGGATTTTTTTCATCCTTCATTGCCTTGTCTACAAATTTTAGTTTTATCTAATGAAACATGTATTGATAGATACAGGAAATTCTCAGTTTTCCCAAGAGTCTAG